AAGAAGTTTGGACGGAAGTGTCCTAGACACTCCTGAAACCGATGGTTTGACAAAGCCACCAGGAAATCCTTGAGTCAAAGCCTGCTGACAAAGGAATCCTGTGTCTTAGAAATGGGTTCGCCTTATTATTTCTGCCACACTCAATCATTGGTGGTAATCTAAAACCAAGCATGGACTCGGTGCATGCAGTGAAGGATTTCAAAGCAATGCACCTGGGGTCCTGGTCAATACCTTCCGGTTAGATCTGAGGTGCCAACGTCATGGCCACTACTGTAAAGTAGGTTCTATTATCACTGCGATGTTGAATGCGTTAGTTTATGTACCGTCCCTAGAACACCATCACACACATTTCAAGCATTAACTACGGTTAATTAACTACTGTTGAGGAGTGACAAGGAGACGCCTGCAAGGGTCTGTGATTAGCCACAGGAATTATGCTCTAAACTTTAGGATCTATTTATTTCTACTTGAAGCACGATTCCAACAGGTTTAGTTAACTGGAGTACATAACAAAGCCAGGTTAGAAATGACAGTGTACAAAGAGATTGGAAGCCCATTATTATTAGAACAATCAGAAAGCTGGGAAAGGTGTGTCTGACAGCAGGGAAAGAGAAAAACAACAAAAGGCAAACACAACGAAAGCATATATTTTCATGATTTTCAGCATCAGGAAACTTAGCCCCAGCAACTTCAAAAGGCATGGGTGCTTGGTGGTATTTCAAAAATGTAACAACCAATGTTCATGATAATGACTCTGATATCAAAAAACGTTTCACCGGCACTTGGGGGAGTCAGGAAAAGTATGAAATGCATTTTACAATGATTTCCATCCAGAATAGTTAAAGCCGTAGAGAAGCTCCACAGAAAGGGTAAATCCTCCAGGATTCTGGACAGCTGAGAGTTTTATCGATCTGATTAAATATACGGCTTTTTTTGTTTTCCTGTGCATAACTGCATATCATTTCTTACTATCACTTGATAACGAACAATCCTTCTCCTCATTTTACAGCCTGATTTTGTATCGAGATCCCCACACTTTGTGTGGCATCCGTCATCACCGCCTAGGTTCGCTTGCTCGCTAAGCAAACAAAATCTCTACGATAAATCGCGACCACCAGCAGAACTCCCGAGTGATTTAAATTAAGCTCCCGAGGGGGGCTTGGCTGTCCCGAGGCTGTCGGGAGAGGCCACTCCGGTGGCGCATGCGCAGACTGCCTGGCTGCCCGCAGCCCCTGCCTCGCTTTGACAGCCCTTCTTGTCTCTACCCAGCGCTCCTGTTCTCACCCAGGAACCACCGACACGCAGTGCTTCCACAAACACTGGGCTAACAACAACATCTCTGGCCTGGGATAGGTCACCAGCTACTTGGAAGAATAACTGAGAAACCCTGGCAACAGCTCATCTTCTAACCTCCCAGCAGGACTGCCAGAGTCTGAGAAGCTGCCTTCTAGAACCACAGACCTCCGCTGTGAACGAGGCGGCTTTTAGCGGGCACAGTGGGATGGCAGCCGCTGCGCGAAGAGCAAAACATGTAGGATGGCGGAGAGAAGGAGCTGAGACACACACACATAGGCAGACACACACAGACCACGTGCCAACATGCACACAGTTCGGGTCTGGGTCACTTCGGGCTGTTGTAACAAAAATTCCGTAGACTGGGTGGTTTAAAGCACTGCGAAATTTATTTCTCACAGTTCTTCTTTAAGCGAGGAAATCCACGATCAAGGCTCAGGCTGGTTCCCTGTCTGGTGAGAGCCCACTTACTGGTTCATAGACAGCCAGTCTTCTATGTCCTCACGTGGAGGAAGACACTCTGGGATCTCTTCATAAGGGCACTAAGCCCATTCAGGAAGGTTCTGCCCTCATGACCTAATCACCTCCCAAAGACCTCCAAATACTATCAAATACTGTCCCGCGGGAGCGGGCGGCGGGGGGGGGGGGGGGTTCGATTTCAACATATGAATTTGGGCGTGCGACCAATAAAAAAGGAAAGCTCATTTAGAATGGAGTCAGGAGGCCAGCAGGGGGCGCTCTCACACGCTACCACTCCTAGTCAATTGCAGACCCACCCGGAAGAGACTGGATCTTGCCTGTGGATACTTTACTAGCCCAGCAGCAGGAAAAGAAGCGCCCCATCCCCACTCCGCAGCAGTCCAGCCCATGAGATACCATCACAATTCAGACAATGAAAAGCCATTATACTTCAAACTCCCAGTTTACTCCAACCGACTTTTTATTTATAAAAGTCTTCCCAATCTCACCCTTTCCTCTGTACAGGAGTGTTTCTCTTCTTTGTTCTGCAGACATGCCTTTGGTTCTGCCATAGCTTACTTGTCCAAAATTGCAATTCTCTATTATTTCCAAATAGTCCCATTTTTGCTGGTAAAAATAACTGGCAGTTTTATTTTTAAGGTTAACAGGGGGGACACAAGCATTCAGCTTACAGCCTATCTAGAACATAGTTCAACGTTAAGAACAAAAGCAGAATCTGTCTCATTTTCCCACTGATTTGTAATCTCCTTGGGGGCAGAACTGTTGTTTGTTTGCATCTACACTAAGTAAAATTTATGAGGAGGGAGACACTGTCATGCTAAGCAGGCAGTACGTCATTCATGCTTGATAACAAAGAACATGTCCTTCCTATGCTTACGAGTCTCTTATTAAGGGTTTGTCTCCCTCTCTGGTTTCATCTTGTTTTATTCTTCCCAGGTGTTTTTTTTTTTTTTTTTTTTTACTAACCAGAATCATGCTGTATGTATTGTTCTTTGATGTGCTTGTTGGAGATGTTCTCAGCCTAGCACACTCCTTTTATCCATTCTATATTCCACAGAAATAGATGTTTGGGTTGCTTCATTCTGCTGTTATAATTATTCCCACTTTTGTGCACAGACTTGAGCACAGGGGGTGGAATTTGAGGGAAAGAGTGTCATTTTGAGCCCTTGGCAATCTGAGGTGAAGGCATGTTGACCTGGCATTGAGCAGGTAGCAGGCCGTGCATGCTGACTCGGGCAGGAGGGCAGCTGGACTGTGAATTTGGGACTCACAGGCCGATGGCATAGTGTGTGACAGGGATGTGGCTGGTTTTGCTTTTAATTTTTGTTTTTCTGGGAAACTCGATCTCTCCCTCTATTCTAAATGAAAGCCTTGCTGGATAGAGTATTCTTGGCTGTAGATTTTTTCCTTTTAGCAGCTGGAATTTATCATGCCACTTTCTTCTGGCCTGCAGAGTTTCTGCTGAAAAACCCATTGATAGGCGTATGGGGTTTCCCTTGTATGTACCTGCTTTCCTTTCTCTTGCTGCTTTTAAAATTCTCTCTTTATCACTACTTTTGGCCATCTTATTTACTTTGTGTCTTGGCACAGACCTCTTTGGGCTGGTTGTGTTGGGGGCTCTCTATGCCTCCTGGATCTGGATTTCTCTTTCCTTCCCCAGATTCAGGAAGTTTTCAGCTATTATTTCTTCAGACAAATCTGCCCCCTTTTCTTGCTCTTCTCCTTCTGGGATCCCTATCATGCGACTGTTATGCTTGACAGTGTTGCTGAGTTCCCTGGGTCTATTCTCATTTTGCATATTCCCCCCTCCTTCATCTGCTTGGCTTGATTACTTTCCATGACTCTGTCCTCCAGGTGGCTGATCCTTTCTTCTACTTCCTCTTACTTGCTATTTATTCCAGATGGGTTGCTGGAGGGGAGTTGAGGGAGGGGGATGGGGTAACTGGGTGGTGGGCATGAAGGAGGGCATGTAATGGAATGAGCACTGGGTGTTGTATGCAACTGATGAATCACTGAACTCTACCTCTGAAACTAATAATACACTACATGTTAATTAATTGAACTTAAATTTTAAAAAAAGGAAACCCCCCAAACAAACAAAAAACAACAAAAAAACAAAAAAACAAAGAACATGTCCTAAAAGAAATCTGTTCCCAACATTATTACTAGAACCAAAATAGCTGTTAATTTACCACAGGTTTCATTTTCCCCAGTTCCTGGCTATTACCTCCTTTTAAGTCATCTGCTGTTTTGGTTTGTTCTTGTTTTGTTTTTGGTTTTGTTTTGATTTGGAAAAGGGCTCAAAGAGCTGTGCTAGATTCCATATGTCCCAATGGACAGCCAGTTGTTTTAATTGTATTGAATTATCACTTCTTTCTCATCTATTCTCACACACAGCCTTCTAAAGTCATCTATTTTTCAATGAGCAGCATTTCCCCTTTCCCTTTCATTCTAGATGGCATCAGCCCATTTTGAAATATACAGGTAAAAAAATAACTGAAAGGCACAAGGAAAATTAGGCAGGAAGAATTTGAGCCTGCTAGGTCAGATTGTTACTTTTTTGGCTTATTTTTTTCTATTCCCAGTTTTTTCCCCCCTCATCTTTGTATTTTTACAAGTCTTGAAAATTAAATGTGCAGCAACTCCTCAGGAATGAGTAAATTCAAGACAATAGTTGAGTGACAATCTTTAGGAACTAAAATTTATCTGAATTTAAAACTAAATTGTTTTGTTTAGTAAGTAAATTGGTCAGATATGAAAAAGTATTCCAGCATTCCAGCTTCTGAGTACAAACAACATGTTGGCGAATTTGTATTGATTTTACCTGCCAATCTAGATGCAATCACACTTTTTAAAGCAGATTCCTGTAATTTGGTTTTCTATAAAATGTCACCAACGCATTAAATACTTTGAAAACAGTCTTTGTAAATCAATCTGCACTTATTAGATTTATTTAAATGATAGCATTAGAATTCCATGCCGAGATTTAATTTGGTGTTAAAATAACTCCCTACATGAGGAACATTTCCAAGGGCGGAGAGGCTAGTTCCCAATTACTTTCATGCCGTCAGTGCTAAATGTGTTTAATGACTCACTTACCTACAAGCTGTGGGTTCTCTGAAGAGCTCCCTGTTCAGTGAGATGCACACATTTTACCTCAAGCTATTTCAAATTTTCAAAAAGGGGACAATGCAGAACCATAGCCAAATAAAAAGTAAAGATCTTACCTTGTTCATGTCAAAGGTATTATAGACTTGATCAACATGTTGATTGGCCTTTGAATTCAGACCCTGCAGACCCAAGAATGTCTTAAATTCATGCAGTGTTTGCAGGTCGGATGGATATTCCCTCATAAATTTTCTGTCCCATACAGAGTTCTCTTTAGCAGGAACTGCTGTCTGACCACCAGCTATGGATTCGCTATTTCCCATCGTGACTCACAGTCTCCAGCTTTTTCTCAGGTTGTTTTCATGTAAGGTTCCTACCGATTTAGTTCCTCACTCTTCACTAAAACTGGAGGCTAACATATGTCTTTAGAGAGTTACTCTAAACCTCTTACAGTTATAGGCTAAATAAGAATAGAAAGCCAGTGAGATTAACTCATCTGTACAGTTTTAAGACTAGGTCATTTATCGCTAACTGATGGAATTGCACTTACTGACATTCAGAGATACAGTTTTCTGTGAAGGGCAGAGGCAATATTTTAAGCAAGTAATCTTTGCCATATTGTCAGCCTAAATTATGCCTACATTGTGGAGTGGGGTCTCATGGAAGGAACTCTGAGTTGCAATCAGGAAGCCTGGGCTCAAGGTTTTGTTTACACTTACTGCAGTGAAACATTACAGGCTCAGCGTTCCCATCTGTAAAATAATAAGAAGAATATTTGCCTTTTCATATATAAATATTGTGAAGATAAATTCAGATGAAAAAAAAAATCTTAAACCACAGAAAAATTATACATTCTGAGTACAATTAAAATGTAAAGGAGGTCTACGTCCAGAAGAGGGAAATGGGTAGGAATAACCGTATTAGTAGTAGTAAAAACACTGTAGGTGCGGTAGGCAGAAAAGTGCAGCCTGCAGATAAAAGGACACATTAAGCTGTGTCTTCAGGCATTGTTCTTATCTTTTTTTTTTTTTTTGCTGTTCCTGCCTTTTACCCATGCCCTCTGCCTGCTTGTTTTGTCCCACTCCAGTTCCCAAGCTGATCTTGTCTGAGTCAAGCCCCAATTGCAAAGGACTTGAAAATTGAGTGAATGAGCCTAAGAACTCTATCCATGGTCCAGTAATGGAACTGAATTGTCCTGTGTGGTCCTCAAGCCAATCTTGCTGCCAACTGTACATAGAAATAACAGACTTCCATTATTTCCACCTGGGGGTCCTCTGGTCCCAAGCCTGGTTCTCCTCTCCTAACCTTACTCCATTTTTCCCCCAGTTCTCATATTGACTCAGTTCCTAAGTCTGGTTTCTGCCTTAGTCCCTATTCCTTAGTCCTAACTGATTACCTATTTTAAACCCAAGGTTCCCCAAGAACTGGAGCCTTTGGGGCCTAAATGAAGTGCCTTGACAGGAGGTGGGGGTAGTTAGGGTATATAGGATTGATTTTGTTTCAAACATACCAATGTAGACTTTATAACAGAAAAATTTTGATTCCACAATGACAGTTGAATAACAGGTATTCAATAAGGTTATAGAAATGTGGAACTCATTCATTTGGAATGGGTATTTACTCTAAAGATACAAATGTAGTGATCCAAAGGGGTACGTGCACCCTGATGTTTATTACTTGAAACCATTAGAGGAGATGAGATTCTTCATGCAGAGGACAAAGAAAGAAGATGAGCTGATGAGGATTCAGTCCTGATAGGAAATATAAGGAATATCCTGTTAGGATCTTCAAAGACCATTCTCTGGGGAAGTTCCTGTGCAGATTCTTTCTAAATGTCTGCCAGAAGGATGTTCAGAGTCATTGACTTCTTATCACCATTAACATTTATTAATCACCAATTTTTAGATTAAGAAAAGAATGGCTGGTGATGATGGCAGAGAAAGATAAAGTTTTCAAGGAGCCAAGGAAATCTCTTGTGGAAGGAAGATTTTTGGATAAATCAAGAATACGAGGACCTGAGGTCCAGAAACTGTATTTCTTCATATAAATGATGCTTCTTTAAAATGATTACTTGCTGATACAGAAAAATATTTAAAACTATTACAAATAGTATAAGGATTCTTATACTGGATACAATATTGATATCCAAACTCAGAAAAGTATATAAAACATTAACCTGCTATAAGATAATGGGAAAAAGACTTCATTTTTTTTTTTTTAAAGATTTTTATTTATTTATTTGTCAGAGAGAGAGAGAGCAAGCACAAGCAGGGGGAGCAGGAGAGGGAGATGGAGAAGCAGACTCCCCGCTGAGCGGGGAGCCCGATGTGGGACTCGATCCCAGGACCCTGGGATCATGACCTGAGCCGAAGGCAGACGCTTAACGACTGAGCCACCCAGGCATCCCAAGACTTCATTTTTAAAAGGTCAAAGAATATATCTAAATTACAATAAATTTAACCAGAACGTGCTGGATGTATATGAAGAAAAAATTTAAATGCTAATACAGGGCACCCATAAAGACCTGAACATACAGAAAACCATATTTTGGTCCCGGTAGAAAGACTTGATATTTAAAAAAGGCAATTCTACCTTAATCTATTACACCACCACCCACCAAACAAAATGCAAATAAAGTTTGAGGGGTGGGTGTTGACTAAAAATGCTAATTCTAAGTCTGGATAAGAATAAAACATGCAAAGATACAAAAGAAAATTCTGAAATATAAAATTATTGACTACCCCTACCAAAACTGTAACATGGGTCCAACATGAGAAAAGTTGGAACAATCAATGAAAAATAATAGGAAATTTTTTTTTAACTTGGCCCAAAATGCAAATAGGAATTTAACATGCCATAAAGATAGCACTGCAGATCAGTGGAGAATAGATTAGTTATTCAATGAATAGTTTGGGGACAATACTCTATCTATCTGGAAACACAGATTTTTAGCTTACTCCCTTCACGAAAATAAATTCTAGATGAATCAAAGATTTAACAATTTAATGATGAAAGTCATTATAGCAAAGTAAAATTTCCTTATACTTTTAACATTAGAATGTCCTTTCTAAATATGACTCAAAACCAGAAAATGAAATTAACCCCCTCAATTTTTTAATCCCATATGGCTCGAAACACTATAAAATTTTTTTCAATAAAAAATTAGGAGATGCCTTCTTGGGAAAAATGTCTGTTCATGTCTTCTGCCCCTCAAAAAGTTGAAAATAGAGCTACCATATGACCCAGCAATTGCACTACTGGGTATTTACCCCAAAGATACAAATGTAGGGATCCGAAGGGGTACGTGCACCCCAATGTTTATAGCAGCAATATCCACCATAGCCAAACCATGGAAAGAGCCAAGATGTCCATCAAGAGATGAATGGATAAAGAAGATGTGGTATATATATACAATGGAATATTACGCAGCCATCTAAAAGAATGAAATCTTGCCATTTGCAATGATGTGGATGGAACTAGAGGGTATTATGCTAAGCGAAATAAGTCAATCAGAGAAAGACATGTATCATATGATCTCACTGATAGGAGGAGTTCTTAATCTCAGGAAACAAACTGAGGGTTGCTGTAGTGGTGGGGGGTGGGAGGGAGGGGGTGGCTGGGTGATAGACATTGGGGAGGGTATGTGTTATGGTGAGCGCTGTGAATTGTGTAACACTGTTGAATCACAGACCTGTATCTCTGAAACAAATAATACATTTATATGTTAAAAAGAAGAAGATAGTAGGAAGGGTAAAATGAAGGGGGGGAAATTGGAGGGGGAGACGAACCATGAGAGACTATGGATTCTGAGAAACAAACAGGGTTTTAGAGGGGAGGGGGTGGGGGGATGGGTTAGCCTGGTGATGGGTATTAAGGGGGGCATGTACTGAATGGAGCACTGGGTGTTATATGCAAACAATGAATCATGGAACACTACATCAAAAACTAATGATGTAATATATGGTGATTAACATAATAAAATTAAAAAAAAATTAGGAGAAAATAGCCGTAACAGATATAATATAAAAAAGATAATTTCCCTAACATAAAAATAGTTCCTATAAATCAGTAAGAAAATACTTACCACTGGGTCATCTGGGTGGCTCAGTCGTTAAGCGTCTGCCTTCAGCTCAGGTCATGATCCCAGGGTCCTGGGATCAAGCCCTGCATTGAGCACCCTGCCCTCTCCCTCTGCACCCCACCCGCACTCATGCACACACTTTCTCTCTCTCTCAAATAAATAAAATCTTAAAAAAAAAACACCACCAAACAGAAAAATGGAAAAAAAGCCAAATTTAAAAATTTAAATGAATTTTAAACATGAAAAGATGCTCAATCTTACACATAGTATAAGAAATATACATTAAAACTACAAGGATATACCACTTTTTACCTACTTGGGTCAGCAAGATAAAAAAAAGTTTGATAATTCACTGGGTAGGTGAAGGTGTGAGGAAACAGGCACTCATGTTGCTGTGGGAATGTATATTAATAAAATTTTTATGGAGTACTACTGGGCACTATCTATTAATAATAAAACATACATGCCCTCTGACCCAGCAATTCATCTTCTGAGATTTATTTAACATATACCTGCACGTGTGTGAAATAAACATATTTACAGAGATCTGCGCATACAAACCCAAAAGAATGGGAAAAAATCTAAGGGACCATCGGTAAGAGAATAATTAAATAAGTTCTAGTATGTCCACAGAATCAAATAATAAGGAGCAGGGAAAGATAATGAGAGACTCTCCATGTACTGAGCCTGACATGGAATGATCTTGAAGGTATATTAACTGTAAAAAGCAACAAAATCTTGGATGCCATTACGTTTGTATTTATACCTGTATAATGACTTATATGGTTTTATGTACATTGATTGTTTTTGGATGGATTCATAAGTAACTAGTAAAAGCACGCCTCGGGGGAGGAGTAATTAAGTGTCTAAAGACAAGGATGGGGTGCAGACTCTCCACCATATCCCATCTCACACGTTCTGAATTTTGTATTGTATGTATGTACGTAAAATTAAAATTCTACAATTCCACCAACATTAAATGTTTTATTGCTTTTGTCCAAAATGGCAGATATTTCTAAACAAATAAAAATAATCAGTTATCAAGGAAAATATAAAAACAATTCTTACATACGTGTAGTATGTGTTCACATGGTCCTTAGAAGACATGTATTTGTACTACAACTCAACAATAGGATTATCATATAAATTATATCTTACAGTTTTTGAGGATTTATATTTTCTGCTTTACCAAGTATTGGCTGTCGTGGAGAAAGGGCATAGGGTCTTCCTGTTTCAACACAAGTTTTAAGAGGAGGTGATTCTGTAGTCCTTTGTACACTGATTTTGAAAACCACTGTTTTCTAGTTTTTATAGTCTTTTAAGTGAAAACAGAATTTAAGCCTAACTGACATTTCTTTCTTATAGCTCACGTGGGAATTGGAGAACTCTAGAACAGCGTCTGAAATAACAGGAAGAGTTAGGGAACCTGACTGCAAATGTGTACATTGTAAATCAGTCTCTATTTCTAAAGTACACATGTTCTTAGGATTACACAGGACAAACCGTACAATAACAGAGTACAAGGGGAAATATGTTTTGAAAAGAATCTTTGTCTTATTAACATTTTAAACGTGAATATCTTTTCTGACTTCTAATTTTGAGAATCACTTTCCGTTTTTTTCTAAAGGGAGACCGTGTTCCACATCTGTAGTCACTTTATTTAAAGCGTTCCGGAAAAGGGGATTATCTTCTTTAAGCAAAGCTTCTAAATACCTGTCAATCTGCTCCTGGTCTCCTGCTGGACTACCCTGGAAAAGAGAACCAACAATCAGAGCAGGCCAAGAAGCTGCAGGCTACACCTCTGTGGCCTCGGGACAGTCCGCCTTAGGGTTCCTGCAGCAGCAAAACCCACCTGGCCCTGGAATAATGCCTTTCATCTTTTAAAATGTTTTCACCTTTAACCTCATTTTGTGCCCACAAGCAGTTAGGAACTTGGGTCATTTCTTTTTCTTCCTTAGTGGAGGTTAAGTTCAACTGGTTTCCATCTATTTAATTACTTGTCATATTCCTAAAGCCACTCCGCCTCCACCTTGTCCTTCTCTGTAATAGATTCTCGTCTCCCCATTTTAAAAAAATTTTATTTTTTTATTCTTTTAAAGATTTTATTTATTTGTCAGAGAGAGAGAGAGCGAGCACAAGCAGGGGGAGGGGCAGAGGCAGAGGGAGAAGCAGGCTCCCCACTGAGCAGGGAGCAGGATGCGGGGCTCGATCCCAGGACCCTGGAATCATGACCTGAGCTGAAGGCAGATGCTTCACCAACTGAGCCACCCAGGTATCACTTGTCTCCCATTTTAAAAGTTCATGAATCTGGAGTGCCTGGGGGGCTCAGTAGGTTAAATGGCCACTTTTAGCTCAGGTCAGGATCCCAGAGTTCTGGGATCGAGCCCCATGTCGGGCTCCCTGCTCAGTGGGGAGTCTCCTCTCTGTCTCCCTTTGCTCCCCACCCCTCCTTGTGCTCTCTCTCTCACCCAAATAAATAAAATCTTTAAAATAAAAGTTCATGAATCTTTAGCCTTCTAGGAGAAACAGATGAGTAGGCAGATTTTGACTTCTCTGCCGGTTCTCTTCCTCTGCAGCATCTTTACCCCTAACCCTTGGCTTCCCGCCCTCATCTGTCTCCTTTTCTCTCCTTTCCCCCAGTTCTCTATGGACAATTTCATACTCTCCTTCCCCGGGCTGCTTAGTCCAGGAACAGGTGGGCAAATGCCCCCTCTTCACGGACTTAAATATCACTCCCTCAAGCCCAGCCATGGGCTTAACCTGCTCTCCAACCTGGGCTGACGGATAAGAGAATTTTGAAAAAGGACCTTTCAGAAACAATCCCAGTTTTATGATTGTTCCCAGTCAGTGGCAACACCATCCTAACTTCTCCATCGCTCACCCAGTTCCATTAACTGTGCTTCTGCTCGGCTCCCTCTGCCCTAGGCCTCAGACAAGGCTGGACCGTACTGAGTCCCAGCTTTGTGCCTGGGGCCCTGTCCCTACAGACAAGCTCACCTGATAGTCATGTTCACCTAGATTTTCACTCACTGGCCCTGAGCAAGGAATGCCCTGTGTGACCCCTTCTGACACTGACAGCTCTCCGTCTGCTCGGTTGACTCTAATTCTTTGGCTCTGCTCTGTGCCTGGCAAACCAGACTTCCTTCTAGGACTTCCGGCTGGTTCTGTCCCCAGCCTCTGCATGGGCCTGCTCGGTCCATCTGCTCTGGGTCCCCCTCATTTCTCATCTCTGTTCTACACCAGTGCAGTAGGCTCTGGCGATCAGAGGCTGTGGAAATCGAAATCTGAAGTCAAGGATGAGAGTAAATCTATGTGGGCAAGGAGTCCTTTGAGTACCTCTCCAATGATACTAGATATACTCTGCAGGCTAAAGCCCCTCGCCTCCTTACCAAACTTCGTGAATAAAACAAATTAGTAGAATTCCTCTGGCTACTGTGCGGGAAAACCAGGGGTTTGGCATAGAAGGAAGAGCAAATCATAATTCTTTCATGTTTTTCTCCCAGCCACACATAGATGTGCTATTATGAAAGCCAATAATTTTTTTAAATTTTATTATATTATGTTAGTCACCATACATTACATCACTAGTTTTTGATGTAGTGTTCCACAATCCATTGTTTGCGTATAACACCCAGTGCTCCATTCAATATGTGCCCTCCTTAATACCGAAAACCAATAATTTTTATGAACTTTTTTGATATAGAGTAGTATTCGATTTTTATGACACAGAATTTCTTTGGTCTCTTGAGTTTTTGTTAGTAGAACAACCATCATCGCTGAAACTGTACCTCGGTGCCAGGCTCCGTATCAGATCTTTCACACATAAAAAACATTTGCCACTCTTTACAGCCACAAGAACCACAAGAGCTGTTGCCTAGGCCACCTAAGGCAGGGGGAGGGTGGTATCATTTTTGCTGTATACTTAAATTAAGCAAAAATATTTTCTGAGTTTCATTTTGTACTTAATAATAGAAGAGAAACCCCAAAGAACCCAAAAGACGTACATTTTGTGAAGGAGGAATGGATTCACCTTGAAATGTTCGCAGCTGGGACTGGAACCCAGGTGGCCTGGCTTCAAAGCCCATGCTCATCATGTACTATCCTGATGTGTGTGCATTTCCTGGTCTCTCCCTGACTCCCCGTCCTGGGCAAGGTAACCCTCCACTCAGTCAGGGCCCTCCGTGGGGCACTCAGCTCCTGCCCTCTCACCTTGTATGGCCCAGGAAGGCCCTGTCTCCTGTCCCAGACTCAGGGCCTGTGTCTGAGTACAAAATACCATGTGCTTTCCTAGGCTCAACTGTTGATTTCTCCATTTATTTCTAGCATCTATGGAAAGACTCCTCAACCATGGCTATACATATTTTAATTTTTTATGGATTATATCCAGCCTTTCTACATGCTGTAGAAAGAAGATGGACTTTCCCTCATTAGCTCAATCCATCACAGGAGCCCTGTTCTGTATGCGTTCGTCCATCCAAACAAGATGAACAGCATACTTACACAACGTTTCCTGACCTCTAACCTCTCCTCAAAGATTAGAAGAGCCCATTTTTAATTATGTATTGAGATAAAAATTAAAATACTTTGTTGTCTGATAAAATTGGAAAAAATTTCCTACTGGAAATACACAGTTGAGGAGACAGGGTTGATCAAACTCTACCAACAGCACAAGCAAAGGTTCTGATTTTTGTGAGAGAGGGAAATAACAGACCTTTTAAAAATGTTCTTATGTGTACTTTCAAAGTTCCTTTATTTATGATTTCAATATCCTTATAGGGAGAGTAGGGCTACGTTAAGTGACCTGCCCGGAGCCAGCAGGTGGATGACCTAGTTCAGTGCTCTCTCCACAAAGTACATTCCCACTACTCCAAATTTTGTTACTTACCAGCTGGAGTTTCTGCAATAGTGCTGCCAGTTTTACCCGAAGATTATTCAGTTTATCTTCAGTAATTTTTCTTTTTTCTTCACATTGTCCCAGAGATATTTCATTAACCACTCCTCTTTGATTTGCATCATAGATAATGGACTGCATTTTTCTCTTTAGTTCTCTTTCATATTGGGCCATGTAAACATTCTGGATCTGGGAATGTTTTTAAAAACAGTTTTAGTATATTTTTCAAGTACTACTTTTTGCCCTAATATCAGAAAGCGATTTCATATTCCAGTTCCGCACGTATGTACCAAGTGTCAACTCTACATCTGTGTATGAAATTTAAGACACGGAGACACCCTGAAGGAACTTGCAATCTGTTGGAAGAGGAAGAAAGACCAGGAAAAACGTGTGATACTCCAGTAACTATGAGGATGGGAGAAGCACACCAAGGTGAGCTTGGACACCCTCGCTTTGAAATGGAAAAAGAATCCAGTCGTGGTTGGATTTGTCTGCCCACCAGTGATACCAGAGTATGCAAGGCACAAAGGGGGTGGCTGGTAGTGACCCCCTCTCCACAGCACCAGAACTCACAGGTAGTGACAGAATGGCAGGCCACGCAGGGCTTTGCTGGCAGATGATGGCGTGTTATTTAGAACTCATGTCTGTAGCATCTGAAAAGCACAGAAGCTACCATCAGAGTAATTCCTGTTCTGTGACTTTCTTCGGGTCCCTTGTCCTGATGCAAAGAATATGGTTGTTGACGTACACATGTGACCCTTGCTAATTCGAGTCTTGGTTGTTTCCCACGAGTTCATGATGTGACCAAGGCACTCACAGAGTAGAAAAGGGAATGGAGAAGCAAAACGCTCCAATTTTTTTTTTAAAGATTTTATTTATTTATTCATGAGAGACAGAGAGAGAGAGAGAGAGAGGCAGAGGGAGAAGCAGGCTCCCGAGGAGCAGGAAGCCTGATGCGGGACTCGATCCCAGGACCCTGAGATCATGACCTGAGCCGAAGGCAGACGCTTAACCATCTGAGCCACCCAGGCGTCCAAAACGCTCCAATTTCAAAATGACATGTGTCATTTTGTGTCAACATTTGGAGAGGGCCGGGGGATATTCTGAGAAAAGAGATACAGAGCAAATCCTGTTTTGATACACATTTGAATGTTTCTGTAAAAAGGAGATTGCTGTGTTCTGATATGACTGCGCTGCCAGGAAAACTGTAAGGTGGTCTCATTTGTCTTCTGGGTCTACTCTTGCCCCCTGCCCCCACCACATTCACTAATACCTACAGACCCCTCCCAGACACTGTCCATATCAGTCCCTTTAAACATCCATTTCTCCTCTTTCTGTAAAATCCTTTAAACAAACAAACAAAAACCTCTAAATATACCGAATTCCATTTAACATTCACTAACCACCTCCTAAATTCAAGGCACTGAATTTTGTTATAGGTGATACAAAGATACAGAAGATCCAGTCCTTGGTCGCAAGAAGCGTCCAGTCTATAGAATGAGATAATGTAAGTATGCAAATATTGTGTCTTATGGGAGAAGCTGCAAGGTGCCCCCAAGCAAGGCACAGATATTTTTAGAGTTGAGAGGACGGTATGAATTCCCATTAAAGAGCATTAAGCTACTTAAAGTACTTAACTTTATTGGATTAATATCAGTAATTTAACCTCCAATTATTTATGCTTTTTTAAAAAAGATTTTTATATATTTATTTATTTGGGGGAGAGAGAGAACGAGCAGGGGGAGGAGCAGAGGGAGAGGGAGAAGCAGACTCCCTGCTGAGCACGGCCCTCACGGACTTGATCCCAGAACCCTGAGGTCATGATCTGAGCTGAGGGCAGACGCTTAACCGAATGAGCCACCTATGAGCCCTTATTTATGCTTTTCATGTGTTATTAATTAAGAGGAGTAATTGGACCCTGAATGTAAATGGGCTAAATGCCCCAATCAAAAGATACAGGGTATCAGATAAAAAAACAAGACCCATCGATATGCTGTCTGCAAGAGACTCATTTTAGACTCAAGACACCTCCAGACTGAAAGTGAGGGGGTGGAAAACCATTTACCATGCTAATGGACCCCAAAAGAAAGCTGAGGTGGCAATCTTTATATCAGACAAATTAGATTTTAAACCAAAGACTATAATAAGAGATGAGGAAGGACACTATATCCTACTTAAAGGGTCTATCCAACAAGAAGATCTAACAATTCTAAATATCTATGCCCCTAACATGGCAGCAGCCAATTATATAAGGCAATTAATAACAAAAGCAAAGAAACACATTGACAACAATACAATAATAGTGGGGGACTTTAACACTCCCCTCACTGAAATGGACAGATCATCTAAGCAAAGGATCAACAAGGAAATAAAGACTTTAAATGACACACTGGACCAAATGGACTTCACAGATCTATTCAGAACATTCCATCCCAAAGCAACAGAATACACATTCTTCCCTAGTGCCCATGGAACATTCTCCAGAATCGATCACATCCTAGGTCACAAATCAGGTCTCAACCAGTACCAAAAGAACGGGATCATTCCCTGCGTATTTTCGGACCACAATGCTTTGAAACTAGAACTCAGTCACAAGAGGAAAGTTGGAAAGAACTCAAATACATGGAGGCTAAAGAGCATCCTACTAAAGCATGAATGGGTCAACCAGGAAATTAAAGAATTAAAAAAAATTCATGGTGGGGCGCCTGGGTGGCTCAGTTGGTTAAGCGACTGCCTTCGGCTCAGGTCATGATCCTGGAGTCCCGGGATCGAGTCCCGCATCAGGCTCCCTGCTGAGCAGGGAGTCTGCTTCTCCCTCTGACCCTCCCCCCTCTCATGTGCTCTCTCTCAAATAAATAAATAAAATCTTTAAAAAAAAAATTCATGGAAACAAATGAAAATGAAAACACAACTGTTCAAAATCTTTGGGATGCAGCAAAGGCAGTCCTAAGAGGAAAGTATATAGCAATACAAGCGTTTCTCAAGAAACAAAGTTCTCAAATATACAACCTAACCTTACATCTAAAGGAGCTGGAGAAAGAACAGCAAATAAAGCCTAAACCCAGCAGGAGAAGAGAAATAATAAAGATCAGAGCAGAAATCAATGAAATAGAAACCAAAAGAACAGTAGAACAGATCAAGGAAACTAGGAGCTGGTTCTTTGAAAGAATTAATAAGATTGATAAACCCCTGGCCAGACTTATCAAAAAGAAAAGGGAAATGACCCAAATAAATAAAATCATGAATGAAAGAGGAGAGATCACAACCAACACCAAAGAAATACAAACAGTTATAAGAACATATTATGAGCAACTCTATGCCAGCAAATTAGATAATTTGGAAGAAATGGATTCATTCCTAGAGATGTATAAACTACCAAAACTGAACCAGGAAGAAATAGAAAACCTGAACAGACCTATAACCACTAAGGAAATTGAAGCAGTCATCAGAAATCTCCCAACAAACAAGAGCCCAGGGCCAGATGGCTTCCCAGAGGAATTCTACCAAACATTTAAAGAAGAATTAATATCTATTCTTCTGAAACTGTCCCAAAAAATAGAAATGGGAGGAAAACTTCCAAACTCGTTTTATGAGGCCACCATTACCCTGATCCCAAAACCAAACAAAGAACCCATCAAAAAGGAGAATTACAGACTAACATCTTTGATGAACATGGATGCAAAAATTCTCACCAAAATACTAGCCAATAGGATCCAACAGTACATTAAAAGGATTATTCACCATGACCAAGTGGGATTTATTCCTGGGCTACAAGGTTGGTTGAATATCCACAAATCAATCAATGCGATACAATACATTAATCAAAGAAAGAACAAGAACCATATGATCCTCTCAATAGATGCAGAAAAAGCATTTGACAAAGTACAGCATCCTTTCTTGATCAAAACTCTTCAGAGTATACAATATCATAAAAGCCATCTATGAAAAACCCACAGCGAATATCATTCTCAATGGGGAAAAACTGAGAGCTTTCCCCCTAAGGTCAGGAACACGGCAGGGATGTCCACCATCACCACTGCTATTCAACATAGTATTAGAAGTCCAGCCTCAGCAATCAGATAACAAAAAGAAATAAAAGGCATCTGAATCAGCAAAGAAGTCAAACTCTCACTCTTTGCAGATGATATGGTACTTTAGGTGGAAAACCCAAAAGACTCCACCCCAAAACTGCTAGAACTCATACAGGAATTCAGTAAAGTGGCAGGATATAAAATCAATGCACAGAGGGCGCCTGGGTGGCTCGGTTGGTTAAGCGACTGCCTTCGGCTCAGGTCATGATCCTGGAGTCCCAGGATCGAGTCCTGCATCGGGCTCCCTGCTCAGCGGGGAGTCTGCTTCTCCCTCTGACCCTCCCCACCTCATGCTCTCTCTATCTCATTCTCTCTCTCAAATAAATAAATAAAATATTTAAGAAGAAAAAAAAATAAAGTAAAATCAATGCACAGAAATCAGTGGCATTTCTATACACCAACAACAAGACAGAAGAAAGAGAAATTATGGAGTCGATCCCATTTACAACTGCACCCAAAACCATAAGATACCTAGGAATAAATCTAACCAAAGAGGCAAAGAATCTGTACTCAGAAAACTATAAAATACTCATGAAAGAAATTGAGAAAGACACAAAGAAATGGAAAATATTCCATGCTCATGGATTGGAAGAACAAATATTGTGAAGATGTCAATGCTACCTAGAGCAATGTACACATTTAAGCAATCCCTATCAAAATACCATCAACTTTTTTCAAAGAAATGGAATGATCCTAAAGTTTGTATGGAACCAGAAAAGATCCCGAATAGCCAGAGGAATGTTGAAAAAGAAAAGCAAAGCTGGTGGCATCACAATTCCAGACTTCAAGCTCTATTACAAAGCTGTCATCATCAAGACAGTATGGTACTGGCACAAAAACAGACACATAGATCAATGGAACAGAATAGAGAGCCCAGAAATGGACCCACAACTCTATGGCCAAATAATCTTCGACAAAGCAGGAAAGAATGTCCAATGGAAAAAAGACAGTCTCTTCAACAAATGGTGTTGGGAAAATTGGACAGCCACATGCAGAAGAATGAAACTGGACCATTTCCTTACACCACACACAAAAATAGACTCAAAATGGTTGAAAGACCTAAATATGAGACAGGAGTCCATCAAAATCCTAAAGGAG